CCAAGCTGTGTTGGTAGAGGGCACTTTCTTAGTATTCCTTGTAGTAATAAAACACGGGGCCTGTCCCACTCCTTGTACTCTGTTTTATTAGGACGATAATGTCATTTTTTTCTGGGAGGGAAAATGAATGTGCGAAGTGCCTTTTAAATAAAATATAGACCCTCTTAAGGACCTCTCAAAGCACTTTTTCCCCATCTTCCCTTTGGGAGAAATGCCTGGCGTTATCAGTCCGCATTAAATTTCAATCCACCCTTTGCCACCCCGAGTCCTCTCTCTGGTTGCCCCAAAACAGGGGTTCTTAGAGATTAACTGTTTCAGTGCAATGGGTTGCCTTTGTAATCCCAGATATTATTTTATTTTATACATTTAAAAACACGATGCTGAGGAGTCCATAGGCTTCCTCAGACGTCATCCACGTCACCAAAAAGGGGAAGAACCCATAATCTGAAACACACAAATAGAATATGGTGAATGATGGTGAAAATCCCCCAGCCCTCCATGGCACCTCCTGAACTCTGGGGCTGGAGGACCCCAAAGTGGGGCAAGGCCCTGCTCTTGAAGATCCAGTCTTTGGCATCAGAAAGTTCTAAGGATCCATTTTCCATGTCCTTTCCTGCTTGCTGCTTCCTAATGTTGAATTTGTTCCATCTGGACCACAAGTGCTCCCTGGAGCCCGGGGGCCCATGAAAACGGCTGCAGCCGCTGAGTCGTCAGCACCCGCTGGTTAGCGTTTCTGGCTTGGCCACAACCCCCCCACCCCCCACCCCCAGCTGTGCGCTTACTTTAAATGGTTTTCTAAAGAGCGATTGTTTCTGAGTGCCTGTTGTAAGGCGCTCGTGGTCTCTGAGGAGTCAATGTTCTGTTGCATCTGTCCATGCTTATCAAAAAATGTGAGCTTGACTGTGCTCCCTCCAACCCAAAAATAGGCATCAGGAACAGGGCTGTGTGTACCCACATCTGTTAATGAATAAATTACCTCCCCATCAGAGCAGGCAAAGCACCGGGTGCTGGATGCTCTTTAGGAAGCATTTTATAGACACTGAGGCATGCCCGATGAAAATCCATGTTGGAGCTGTGCAACACAGAAATGTCGCTGCCCCGTTTGCCTCCGTCTGCATTCACGGCTTGGGCCGGGGGAAGGGTCATGTAAAACAGGCAGGCTGGTGAATTTACAGAGGAGACTCACCGCTGATCCTCTGGTGCCTTGGCCTCAGGAGGATCCAGGGAGCAGCTCATGGAGTTTGGATGGCGAGAAGAAGAAGAAATTTACAGCTGCTCTGGTGGTTTGGTCGGATTTCTTTAAGCTGGCACCAGGGACAGAATTAGAAGGAACCTGAACCAGTCCAGGGCGGTTTATTAGCCAGGCAGCCACAATTTTGACCTTGCTGTGGGTTAAAGGACACAGACCTGCAAAGAAATCTGTTTGTCATGTAGGGAATTCATGCCATCCCTGACAGCATACAGTGAGCAAGATGGATGGGCTGCCAGATTGGTCCCTCGCATGGGTGAATCAGGGCAAATTTACAGTACAATTCCTTTAGCTGCTGCTGATACAAAAATAACATTTGCTGGGTTTTATATTCAGTTGTATGATGACCCAGGGGTGAGCAGAGAAAAGAAATCAGATTTGTAGGATTCATATTGCCCTAAAGATTTATGTGGACCATACCTAGCTTTTATATCTGTCTCCTTTACATCTTTCATAACCAGTTTTTTAAAAATCCGATTACTCAGGTTGAGGGGATGGCTTTATGTGACTGTCGGGCAACTTTTCTGCGGCAAGGATGCAATACAGTAAAAGTATTTATCATTTTAAATACCTCTATTTTATTTTGGTTGTGCCCTGTCTCTGGAGTTACGTAGACACCGAGTGTGGCAGTATTCGGGAGATGGTTACCATGCTATTGTGTCCCAGAATAGATCAGCCCCAGTCTGGTTTCATTCTGCCCGGGAGAATATTCTCCAGACCCATGGAGATGAAAGGAGCACTGAGAATGCTGGCGTTCTCTCTTCCCCTTAACTCAGTCCCCAGAGACCGTTGGAGCATCTATCTGTTCCTTGTACGCAGTGTGCCAGGCACTGGGCAACCCAAAATGAAGAAAAAGGCGGTCTCTGACCTCAGGGAGCTTCCAGTCTGACAGAAGGGGACCAACATGGGGCAGCAGAAAGAATACTAGACAGAGGTGAAAGTCACCTTCTCCCCGTGCTCCTCACTACATGTGTTCGCAGCCCCCTCATCTGACAGATGAGGAAGCTGAGACCCAGGGAAGTGGAATGTCTGAGGTTTCACAGGTAGTCTGTGTCAGAGGCAGGATCTAAACACAGGTCCCTGACTCCAGCTCTACCCTGGAGGACCAAAGGATTTTAGAAGGTGAAGATAAATGGATGTATTCTGAACCCTGGTGAGAGCCCACATAAATGCTTGGAGATGGAAAGGGGCAGGACAACATCAGGGAGCAGCCGGGGGTCCAGTTTGGCTGGAAATTAGAGTGTGTGAAACTCAGACTAAAAGCTGGCAGGAGATGTGCAGGACCGTCTATCCCGGGTGAGGGAATGGCTAGTTTGTCCTGTACACTATAGGCAATGATTGTCAAGTGGGGGCGTCGATGTGGTCAGACTCACGCTTTAGGATTGTTGCTTTGCCATGGAAGGATAAATGGGAGACTGGCTGGAGACAGAGAGGTAATGAAGGGATGAGGTCGTCCTCAGCTGGGGAATGGGGAAGAGGAGAGGGAATGGCAATCTGCAGGCCGTGGCGGCTGATTGAATAGGGCTGTGGTGCGTTAGAGGAAAGAATCAAAAACAACACAGGTCTCGGGCCTGGGTAAGGCAGAAGACAAAGGTGGCACCCCCAGAAATGGGGAGCTGGGAGAAAGGGACAGCCTTAGCAGGGCGTCGATAAGGATTCCATTTCGGATGTGTTGTGTTTGAGACGTGAACAGAACGTTGAGGGGGAGGGGCCGGGCTGGAGTTGAGAGGCGCTGAGCGTTGAAGTCATGGGGGTGGATGAAATTACCAAAGTGGGAAGAGGGGTGTCAAGGCCAAAGAGAAGGCCAAAGACAGAGCTTTGGGAGAGTGGAAAGAGGATGGCCAAATGAGGGGCCTGGGACCAGCCTTCCATTTTATTCATTCAGCAAGTCCACACTGGCCAACCAGCCTGACTAAGGCGGCAGCAGGAAGGAGCCGAAGAATCCAGGTAGACCAACCCACTATTTGTCAATGACAAAACCAAGGCCCAATCCCAGACTTGTTCATTCTTCCTTCAGAAATTAGGGGAAGTGGAAGTCCTGGGTGATTTAGCTACCCCCAAACCTAACTCTTGAACCTCTGGACTTTGATAGTTGCGGGGCTGGGGGCGGGGTTGCTCTTTGTGCAAGCGCGCGCGCGCGTGTGTGTGTGTGTGTGTGTGTGTGTGTGTGTGTGTGTGTACACACATGCGCGCATGCTGACATTCCACCTGGGGAAAAGGAAGCTAGAGCAAAACGTAGACCAGCAAGAGAATCCTCTTGTTTTCTTGTGGGCTTATGCACTAGGCTCTCGAGCTGTGATGAGTTGCAGGGGGAAAATCAGGAATAAGACTCAAAATTCTGCCTGCTTAGAAAGTAGCTGTTGACACATTTTCCTGAAGAAATTATTCCAAGTAACCAAGAGCCCTTGCAATTTCTGGAGTTCCCGAAATCTCTATTGGAAGGGCCCAGAGAGGCGCAAGGGGCTTCTCTGCACCTGCCTGGGAAGCCCTTGCCTGTTTATTGCATAAGCAAGGATTTCTTTGCAGTGAAAGGGGCAGAGAGGAAAATCAGGTATCAGCTGTTGATGGCCTCGCTGACATCCTGAACATCTCTCTGTCACGTAGAGCAGCCACCGCCCACCCTGGTCATATGAGACTTTATTTAAAACCCAACATGTGATCCAGGGCTTCAGAACATTTGCAGAGAGGAAAACCATAGATAAAGGACCAGGGGGCATAGTGTAATGGAAACATTCAGGAACAAAGTAAGGAGTTGCTGGGCCTGGCCGCAGATTTCCTTAAGCAGAGATATAGTAAGGCCAGTTCTTTACAGAGGTGGGGACTGCGGGTGTGGGCTACTGCAGACTTCTTTGCATATGTTTGTTCATTTTGATTAGCTTTTTCCCCCTCTTGTTCTTTTTAAGGAGGGCACTTTATAGGAGAGAGAAAGAGAAGGGGTCATACATCCCTTGGGAAGCGTCAGTGATGCAAAAACAAAAGATAACACAATTTAATTTATTGAAGTAGAACTAACTGCATAAGAGAGATTCGTAATTTCTTGTATAAGCCCCTCCTGTTCTACAATATACAGGGAAATGGTCGTTTCCTTTGGCTCTGGCTGAGTTCAAAATTTGTTTTAGTTTAAAAAAAAGGAAGAGTCAAGCACCCTAATACTTGGAGAGTCCCCTTTGACATTTCAGAAGCACAGTAGAGAGAGAGAGAGCACTTTCTGCCTCCACCCAAGGCAGCTAGTGCAGGCGGGGGCCTGGGCTCACAACACAGCTTCACCAGTTAGTGCCCTCTCGAGTCCCTTCAGACCCTCAAAACCCAGCTTCCCTCTCTGTAAAATGAAGGGGCTGGGCCAGTGACTGATGCGGACCCTTCCATCTCTGATCGGCAGAAGGAAAGCTTTACCCCCGCCTCGGATTAGCTGACCTCATTCTGCACTAGAGAAAATTGCAAGAATAGTAATTCATGATTATATGATTAGTGAATCCAGGAAAACATTGCTGAGATCTAGCGAACTCTTCTGTCGCTGTTATTTTTACATACTTCAAGGAAGGGATTATTCTAATCAGTCCGAAAAATATGATACCCCATTTACAAAGGAAGCATCCTTTTGGCAAGGTAATTCTTTTGGAGTCCATATTAGACTCACAGTGTATGTATTTTGTAGCTGGGTGTTCAATTATTATTTCTAAGATAAGTAAAGTCGATGCAGACTTGGAGAGAGAATTATTCTAAACCAGGGCTCTGCATGTTTCCATTGCAGACAGCACTCCAAAGACCTCAGCCAGTTGCAGCCCTGCCCCAGAATCCCCAATGAGCTCCAGTGAATCGGTGAAGAGTTTAACAGAGCTGGTACAGCAGCCGTGCCCTGCCATCGAAACAAGCAAGGACGGAAAAGTCCCCGAGCCTGGGGACCCTCCCACCTCCGACTCCCAGCCGACGACGCCTCTGCCACTCTCGGGACACTCGGCCCTCAGCATCCAAGAGCTGGTCGCCATGTCGCCCGAGTTAGACACATACGGCATCACCAAGAGGGTCAAAGAGGTGCTCACGGACAATAACCTTGGTAAATATCCTTCATTACCAGGGGGGGAGAGCGCAGGGGTGGCTCCTGGGGTCAGGCCCTGTGCTAGGCCCTGGGGGTGCCAAGACACAGAGGGAGCAGCCCTTGTCTTCCAAGAGCTTACGTTCTAGCAGGGCCAGCCAGCAAGCAGGCATTCTTGAAACACGTACTATGGGTCAGGTACAGTCCCTCCTCTCAAGGAGCACTAGGTATCCTACGAGGTAGTTCTTGTTTGAGTTTTAGGAGAAGAGTGTTAGGAGGAGCACGGTCAGCTGAGGAAAAGAGCATCACTGGCTGTGTCCGATGATAGGATGGCCTCTGAGATCCCTCGCAGCCCCGGATCTAAAGGCTTGTGATCAAACATGGACTGTTAAACAGGACCATCTTTGTGCTGGGGCCCAGAACGCTGCTGGTCACTTTTTCCTGCTTAAGGTGTTTTTGTTTTTAGTCATCGAGGTGCCATCCATGTTTTTTATTTCCCGTGGTATGACTGACAAACCCCGAAAGCAGAAAACCGAGGAGATGTGCCCCAGACTGTGCTGGGCATGGAACGGATTTAAGTGTTCCCACCGTCAGGCACGTGGCTCGCGACACTGTAGCCACATGGTTGGGAACTGCCGATCTTCCATGACCAGGTGGGGAAGCGGGCAGTTGGAGTGCCGTCTTGGCCACCTGACCTGGTGCTGGCCAGTCAGAAGGAAGAGTGGCTGCTGTGGTCATTTGGAAAACCGACACGGGCCAAGCGTCTGTCTGCCCCTGTGCCTCCTTGGACTCCGCCTTGGCAAAGCCAGTGTGGGCACTCTCTCCGCCAGTGATGGAGGCGGTTGTCCTCAGGACACGGCGTCTGAACCGAGCACTCTCCTGGACTTTTCTCAGACGTAAAAGTCTCCAGCACCAGCACCCTGTTTCCACAGTGGCAGGCTGCACATTGGGGCAAGTCGCTGGGCTACTGGACATTTGTCCAGGAATACTTGGGACGGGCCAGATTTCTTCTTTTTTTGGTTTTTTCCAAGGGAAATAGGAGAGGAAAGAACAGTCATGGTGTCAAGTCCCTAGAAACTCTGCCTAAGCTTCTTAACAGCAGAGAGGCCATCGCCAGTCTGCTTTGAAGAGGTGTTCTCCCCTCCCTGGTGCTGGGCAAAGTTCTTTCTGTGTCATGGACGGGAAAGGATAACATCAGCTGTGAAAAACCTTTGCAACAAGAACCGCCGTCAGCTCGTAAAATGCTGGTCTTTGAAGCCTGTTGGTGATATTTTATTAGGATCGCAGATTTAGAGTTGGGAGGGAGCTGGGTGGTCTCCTGGTCTGACTCTCAGAGAAAGGGGTTTGCCCATGGTCAGTCACACAAGTGCTAAGCGTCTTGGGTGGATTTGAACCCAGGCCCTCTGACTCCAAATTCATTGCCAGTTTCATTGTACCACATTGTTTGTTGCCAATTATTAAAATTCATAAAGGTTCCCAGGAACCCAGCGGTTTGAATTTTAGGGTCTTGGCCACAAAACCATAGAGTCTGTAGAGCTGACAAGATTTAAAATTGTGATGAGTTGTTTCCCTGTGAGAAATGTTTGTCTTTTCATTTGACACAAGACACACAGTGGATAAAGTAGGCTTGGAGTCAGGAAGACCTGGGTTCAAATCCCACCTCTAATACTCACTGGGTGACCCTGGGTAAGTCACATCCCTTCTGGGGGCCTCCGTTTCCTCACCTCTAAAATGAGAACGTTGGACTTGATGATCTCTTGGACCCCTTCTAGCTATAAGATCTGTGGCCCTCCCTCGGCATCCCCTCACTTAGATCACCATTCGGCATTTCCTTCAGCTTTCACTGCAGGAATGTCATCCCTGATGAGCGGCAGGGCAGCCTGTGGGCCCCACCTTGCCGGGCCATGAAATCACGGCAGCTGAGACTGCCCCTGCTTCAGTCAGAAGGCTAACAGGGGAGGCATTGAAAGAAAACTGCCACAGATAAATGGGTTTTTCCAAGCAGTGGCCTTTGACCTCCAAGCTTAAGAACAAAACTTGTGAGACTTGACGTGGTGACTGGCCTGTCCCTCGAGGATGACCGCTTCCCCTTCTCTGCAGTACACCATGAAGGACGTGAATCAACCAAGACTCATCCTCCATGTCACCGTAGGCCTCTTCCTTCCTGGACCAGCAGAAACCGCTTGACTCGGAAGGAGGATGACCTTTGTCCCCTGGGACAAAGACGACAGAGCAATCAGCCATCGAAGAAGCCAGGGACAGAGAGCGCGGAAACGGGCTGATTGAGGCACAGGCATTCTCTGAAGCCTCTTAGGAAGTACCAATAATTTCCAAGGAGCAATCACTTGGGTTTGGGGGTTCTTTAATGCCCCGGCGTGCCGGATGTGCAGAGAGGAGCTGTTTGTGCATCGTTCTCCTTGAGTGTGAGGGTCTTTCCAAGGGACAGGGTTTGAAACAGGCTTCTGTCAGAAGAGGTGGGTAACTGCTCTTGGTTTCCTGGGCCTGCGGGGGCGGAGGGGGAAGAATCCCAGAGAGCCACAAGGTCTGAATCTGAAAACAGGGCCCCATGGGGAGCCTTTCTCTAAGAATGGCCTGAGCCCCCTCCACCGCCAGCAGGTCCTGTTCTGCATCCATGACAAGCCTCCGTCTCCATGGGCCGCACACCTTAGAGGTTTACATTCCCCACCAGGGCAGTCCGGATCTCAACGGGTTCTCATTTGAACAGCTATCAGTGGGTACATTCCTAACCTGCAGCTGAGGAACCGTCAGACAGCCTTGGAAAGTTCTCTCCTTGCTGTGATGTTGAAGAGCCAGATACACCACTGGCCATGGGAAGAAAGAGGCAGGTTTGCCAGGGCTCTGGGCCAAAAAGAGCCTCTGAGAAGAAAGTGTGGATCCGTGAAACGAGAGCACCGTGTCTCTAACTAGCCCCTCGCCAGTGCTGGAGGGGCATGCCAGGGACAAAGGATGGCCTGCCCCCAAGTGTGTTTTTAAATCATCCAATCAAAACTACTTTCCTCGTTTTCTAACCTTTGGGCACCTGAAGTTCACTGTTTGACTTTCCCGAGGATCTTACCTGGAAGCCAGTAGGGGGCACACAGATCTCAGAAGCCTTCTCATTTTTGTTGAAAGGGAGAGATCTTCCCAAAGCTGTGAGCTGGAGTTGAGACAGTGTGTGGAAGGGGGTTGGTCAGGGGGTTGGTTAGAGCCACTTCTGAATTGCAGTCCATCAGCATGGATTTGTTAAGCACTTACTCTGGGCTGTGACACTGACCTGGGCTCTAGGGACGTTAAGGGAGGGGCGGGAATCTGTAATTGTGTTAGTATATCCAAAATATAAATAATCATGAGAGCCCTGTAATTGATCCATCAGTCAACAAGCATTTATGACGCACCTGCTGTGTGCCAGGCAGCATGCTGAACGCTGAGGATGCAAAGACCAAAAAATGAAGCCGTCTTTGCCCACAGGGAGCTTACGTTCTGTGTGTGGCACAGCATGCACATGTGTCCAGATATACAGAATGAAAACAAGATGTTCTCGCATCCACGTTTAATTTAATCCAAAGACTGAAATTGTATTTTGAGGTGACCAGGAAAGTTGGAGATTTGTGCTCTCTGTGTTCATTCTTGGTCTGTGTCAGCGATTCTGGGGCCTAATTAACAGCATTCTCATTAAAGTCTCTCCTTACCGCCGCCATTTTGAGGGATCGTGGGCGTTTGGGGGGGGTGCCCCTCTCCTCTGCCGTGTGTGTTGGACGTTGGACCCCACAGTGATGGCTCGGTTTGCTTCCTTCTCAGGTCAGCGTCTGTTTGGGGAGACAATCTTGGGGCTCACCCAGGGCTCCGTCTCTGACCTTCTCGCTCGCCCCAAGCCCTGGCATAAATTGAGTTTGAAGGGAAGAGAGCCCTTCGTCCGGATGCAGCTGTGGTTGAATGATCCCAACAATGTGGAAAAGTTGATGGACATGAAGCGGATGGAGAAGAAAGGTGAGTGTCCATCCTGCAAGTGGCTTTCTTATTTCCAGATTGACTGTTTCTTTTCAGTCCTCAAGTCTTATAAATTTGAACTGAAGAGACAGTGGCCCACAGTCGAATGCAGCACATGGTAGATTCTGTGACAGTGTTCATTCGGTCACTTGGTTATTGTCCTTCAGGCTCGAGGGTCAAAGTTCAGCGTGTCCAGCTGTGGCCGAGGAGACCAGTCAGAGCTCAGGAGGCTCTCACGCAGGTCGGGCGCGTCCCTTTGGCTGCCAAAGGTCAGAAGGGTCCTTGGCCCCATCTCGGCCCCTTGTGGGCCGCTGCTTTGTTCCCCGAGTGACCCCTCCCCCACATCCCAGCCAGCCGTATTGGCCAGGGCCCTTCAGCCTGTCTGGAGGAGGAGGGAATGGGATAGGCCAGAGCCCTGTAGGCGGCACGGTCTGGTTTTCCCCCAGTCTCATCCAACAACTGAGGTTTATTCGTGTTGTTATTCTGTACTGTGTAGGTTATGGAACAGGAATGGTAGCGGTAATGGCGAAGATGGCAAAATAATTGCTTATGGTTCCAGCACACCAAGCATTGCCCTCAAAAACAAAGCCATTTTCTCCCAACAACTCTGTGAAGTTCATAACTTTTTTAAAATTTTTGGCAGGCCTGTGATTTAGTCAGTCAGCAGCATTTGTTGAGGGTGCCATGACTTCATTAGCGAAGGGAGTTTCCAGGGAGAACGTCCCTCTGCCAGCGAAGGTGGCACCTTCCCTACAGCTCAGGCCCCAGAGAGCTGCTCAGCCGGCCCTGGAGCCCCGGGCTTCCCGACTCGTGGGAAAGCTTCCTCCTGGCTGCTCTGAGCAGGCATTTTTAACCCGACGAAACCAGAGCTCAGAGGCGAGGTGACGTCCCCAGCCTTGGGACTAGTAAATAGGAAAAACCAGGCCTTGAGCCCAGTTCTTTGGGCCTGGCTCCTGTGTTCTTCCCACTAATAATAACTGACGTTTACGTCGTGGTTCCTGTGTGCCCAGCATGGTGCTAAACACTTTACAGACATTATGTAATCCTCCCATCAACCCTGGAAGGGAGGTGTTGTTGTTATCCTCCTTTTACAGATGAGGAAACTGAGGCAAGCAGAGGTGACATGACTTGCCCAAGGTCACACAGCCAGCAAGTGTGTAAGGCTAGATTTGAACTCCTGATTCCTGGTCCAGCACCACCGAGCTGCCCAACCTGCCTTGCTGGCAGAATGAGGCTTTAAAACAGATTTCTTCTTTGCAGAGACACAAGTTCTGAGCATGGGAGCTTGCCGAGCACCCAAACATTTTACAGTGTATTTATCAGACCGTCTCTCTGACCCCGGGGTCCTGCCCTATCCCCACTGGTTCTCCTTCTTGCACCACATCAGGGCTTGCTCTGAGGGCTGTTATGGACTGGCTGTGCCTTAGCCAGCAGTGTCTTGGCTTCTTCTTGGGGTCTTGGCCCCTTATTTAGCCATCAGGGGAAACCTACAGATTCCTTCTCATAGCCATGTTTTTAAGTGAGTGACAGAGGAAAGTAATAGTGTTGACATGCTGTTGTCACCATATTTTTCCCGAGTTCACTGACCCCAGTTCCTTCACCTCTATCTCCCAATCTAAGGGATGAGTCTATTAACTAAACTTTCATCATGACCCCAAAGGATTCTTTGCTTGCCTCCTTAATACCACATTCATTCAGTAGGCATTCGTAACTGCCTACTGTGTGCCGGGCTCCATATCTGACCCTGGGAATGTAGAGACCGAGATGAAATCATCCCACATTCCATTGGAAGAAATAATGTGTCCACACACATAGTAGAGGCATCTAGGAGCACAGCAGATAAGCCCAGAGTCAGGAAGACCTGAGTTCAAATTCTGCCTCCAGGACTTAGAAGCCTTGTGCCTCTCAGCAAGTCAGTGAGCCTCCTTTCCAGCCCCAAAGCTGTGGTCCTCTTATCCTATGACATATAAATAAATGCAGGAGCAGCTAGGTGGTGCAGTGGATAGAGCACCAGCCCTGGAGTCAGGAAGATCTAAGTTCAAATCTGGTTTCAGACACTTGACTAGCTGTGTGACCCTGGGCAAGTCACTCAACTGCATTGCCTAACCTCCCCCCCAAAAAAAAAACCAGCATATAAATAAATGCAAATTAGATTCAAAGGAAATGGGGCGAGGGGACTGACATCATCAGGGATCAGCAGAGACATGGTCTGTAGGAGGTGCCCCTTGAGGTGAACTTTGAGGGAAGCTTGAGACCTCCAGAGACAGGTGATGGGAGAGGGTGTTTCAGGCCCAGGAGCCCAAGGAAGGAAGACAGAATGTTGTGCATGAGGACTGGAACATAGCATGTGGGAAGGGCAGTCCTGTGCCCTGGGGCCACAAAGGTCTCCAGGAGACAGACTGGAGAGGACTTCAGATGTCCAGCAGGAGAGTCTGCACTCTCTCCAGGAGTCCTTAAGAGCCACTGGCCCTTCTCCGGCCGGGTTGGGCACCACCGCAGTAATCTGGGTGTGAGGTAACGAGGACCTTAATCAGGGGACCTGATGTAGGAAATAGAAGTGACAAGCCTCGCTACCTGATTGGCGGGAGAGAAAGCGAGGGCTTGACGAATGTGGGTGATGAGGAGGAAGGTGGTGTCCTTGGCAGAGATGGGGGATTTTGTACATGGAATTAGTTCAGAGTCCCAAAAGTGCCATGCGTAGCAGTTCCAAAATAGAGTGTGGAAGAATCTCAGATTTTAGTGCATGGACCAGAAAACATAAGGTATTTCTATTTTTAATATGTTCACTTGAGGAGGTATATTAAGCAGCTCCACCAGACCTGAGGAGTTTCCCTAGAGCACTGGTCCAGTCATTCCATGGGCTCCAAGCACCATCTTGTGGCAGCAAAGAGATACTGCTTCTGCTGAGTCTAGGGCCTTCCTTGGGCCAAGAAGGCAAACTCAGCTCCTAATATACTGGACAGTGCCTTGGATGCACAGGACATGAGAACGTGAATCAACCCCAATAAGTGAGCCAGGAGCCTGACCTGTTAAATAGTAACCATGATATTGAAGCATCACATGACACTTCTCAGTGTGTTCTCCATGTGGAGTTTGAAAAGGAATTGGTGCTTAGAACTAGCTCTCCATTATCCACAGTAATGGGGAGAGAGAGAGAGGTGACCCAAAAGAGCAGATAATCTAGAGGTATTTATTTCTGTTTGGCTTGGAAATGCACTATATGATGAAAGGGAGGCGGGGAGGAGCAAATTTACCTTTCTAATGATGTTCTCCTCAGTCTGATAATGAGTTGTAATCTTTGAAAAGATATCAGATAACAAAGAAATGCAACCAAAGGTAAAAACTTCTTCAGCAGATAATCTGCCAAGAGGTGGGCAGCAGACCCAGAGTTGAGAGCTGCCTCTGTTTCTTGGGGCAGGTTTTTCTTTTCCTTTATCCTCAGCCTCTTCTCTGAACCCTCTCTTTGCCTCATCAATGTGCCTAGATCAGCAGTGCTTCCTAAGGTTTCTCTTACACCTGTGGCCTGATATAATCATAAGTTTAGAGCTAGAAGGACCTTTAGAAACCATTAAGTCTGAGCCCTCATTTGACAGATGAGGAACCATCGCCCAGAAGGGAGAAGCGACCTAGGTCTGCCTGGCCCTGAGGACAGCTCTGCACCCACTTTGCCACCTTGCCTCTCTCCCAGTGGTTAAACCTCACAACCGCCCTTGGCATTGGTAATAGTCCCTCTGTGTCCACTCTCATTCTCCAGCCTCCATGTTTTCTCCTGAACCAGTGATCACAAGGGAGCCCTTGGTGGCTGCTGGAGATTTTGAGCAGAGGGCATAGAAGACAGATTAGGCAGCATTTGGGCTCAGCCAAAGGGGCTGCTCTCCAGCTCCATCACTTCCCGGCAGCTCTTACAAGTTGTATTCCAAACTCTTTGGCAGGAGGAATGATTGCAGAGGATTCATTTGCTAACTCAGTGAGATCCACTATTTGTCCAGCCGTAGAGTAGGGAAGACCAGAGTTCAGATCCTGCCTCTGACATTTACTGACTGGGCAACCCTGGGCAAGTCCCTTATGAGAGCCCCAGGCAGTTTTCCAAGCTTCTTAACTGCTGAGTGAGTAATAGTCTGTGTCTGTTAGAAGGACTTCAGTCCCTCAACAGCCAATTACCTGGAGAAACAGATGATGCAAGACCAGTAATGACCTAAAATCCATTTTTATTTTATTTTAGAATACATTGTTATTGTTAGTAACAATCATGTATCTTTTACAGTATATGAATTATAATATTAATGTCTTCTTAGGTAGTACTGTTTATTAGTTCCCATTGGACCCTCACTCTCAGCCCTATGACCTTGGGAAAGCCAAAAGTCACTTAGCCACTCCAAGCCTTAGTTTATTTATCTGTCAAGTGGGGGGAAGTACAGCATGGTTCAGCAGAAAGAGCCCTAGATCTGGAGTCAGCAGGCCTGGGTTCAAATCCTGGTTCTACCCCTTGAGCTGTCTGACTTGAAGCAAATCACCTGTCTTCTCCTGCTGTTCCCCTGTAAGGTTGAGGGGGTCTAGACCTGTCCTAAGTCTAAGTCGGTAATCCCACAATGTCCCGGGACGTGAGGATCGTGTGAGATGGTGCTGTTTACACCTCTGTATGAATGTAGTCAGTCACTACCAGTTCTCTCCCCGCTGCGTTCCAGGCCTTGGCTCTTTGCCCACTCTGGGACGTTCCTCAGCAAGGAAAAGGGAGGGCCTAGGTCGCCACAGGCTGCAAAGCCCATGTGGATTTAGGATTAATCGAAAGTTCACCGTGCAGTGTTTGTGATGGGGAGAGGAATAGGGCTGGACCCTATAGACACTGGCTGTGTAGCAGAAAGGGCTTTGGACTTGCCATCAGGAGGCCAGAGCTCATGGAGAGACTCGGCCCGGGACCCCTCAGAGGCAGTTCTCTAAGGCCATGAGTTAGGGGTACAGAAGCTGGGCCCCGGGCAGATGCTTTCCCCCTCATTTGTTCATTGTCTCACAATAGCCGGCACATAGGAGGTGCCTAGTAAATGTCTGAGCAGCATCATTGCCCCTGGAAAGTAAGGTGGTTTCTTTCTCCTTCAGCCTACATGAAGCGGAGGCACAGCTCGGTGAGCGACAGCCAGCCCTGTGAGCCCTCCTCGGTGGGCATCGACTACAACCAGGGCGCCAGTCCCCAGCCCCAGCATCAGCTGAAGAAGCCTCGCGTGGTGTTGGCACCGGAAGAGAAGGAAGCACTCAAACGAGCCTATCAGCAAAAGCCATACCCATCACCGAAAACCATTGAAGAACTCGCCACCCAGCTCAACCTGAAAACCAGCACCGTGATCAACTGGTTCCATAACTACAGGTACGAGCCTGCGAGCAGCCGAGTGACGGGGGAGGGGGCCGCCTGCTGGGGAACACAGGGTACAGGTCCACATCCTGCCTCAGGCACGTGGAGCCTGGGTGGCCTTGGGTGAGTCCCTGCACCTCGCTGAGCCTCTGAACCACTGAACGAGGTCCTGCTGCACAGCCCAGCCCCGTAAGGAGATGAAGAGGGGGCAGGCCCATACCCGTGACGCACTCAGGGCACCATGCAGGCCCACACTCGGCCGTCAAGGAGTAAGCCATCTGGCACTAGAGGAACTTAACATGGCACATTTCTGAGGGGTCGTTAGGACCAGGACACAGAGTGATACTGCAGGTAGACTCGCTCCAGGTGGGGGGGGGGGGGCGGAGCGGTCAGTAAAGGCCAGCTACTGAAGAGTCGTGCATCTGCTGCTAAAGTAACCACGTTGTTCCCCTCCTCCGTAAACTCCCAACCCACCTTTCCAGCCTCCATGGAGGTGCCTGCCCCTCCCCCCGCCCCATAGGGCATTCTGTGCAGCCTCGTGGGCCTCGCCTTCGTGGGGCCAGCTCAGCTTACTCCGTTTCCAAGTCTCCTTCCTCAGTGTCTCAGAGGTTCCTCTCCTCCTGTAGATGCCTGGCTCTTAGCCCTGCCCTCAGTGGGCTTTCCTTCCATCAGGATTCTCAGCTCTTTGTTGCCCACTTCAAGGCAAGAAATCGTTGTTTTCCCCACATTGCAGATGGCTGGACTGCACCGCTGTGCTTCTGGCTTATCCGGGGTACTAGGAGAAATCTGTGTGGCCAGTGTGGGGAGGAGGCCTACCAGCCCCTCCAAGAGACCCTCCCCAGGGGCTGGACTGTGGCTGATCTTCGTCATCGTGGGTCACGTGGTTCAGGCTGCATTCTCTGGCCATAGAACTGGTTTATAATATTAAGCAGATCACTGGAGAGAGTATGTATGTGTGTGTGTGTGTGTGTGTGTGCATACATACACATGCTTGCAGGCATTTGGCCCCAAGGACCACAGCAGCCATTGACGCTCTGTGTGTCATCTCCCAACAAGAACACATGGCAGAGAATTCAGTGTGTTGATCCGGGCCCTCAGATCCCGTCCTCATAGAATTCAGCACGTGTGGAATTGCTTCCGTCTCTGCAGAGCCGGGCAATTACAGAATAGCACATTTAGCTGTGTTAATGAGCTTTTTTTGGAGGAGGTGCTAATAGTCATATACATGCACGTGCGCACACACACACATGCACGCGCACGCACACACACACACACAGAGTCTCCATCCCCAGGCTCTTTACCAAGCAGACTTTCTTCTCCAGACTTTCAGGCCACCGCCGCTGCCATTCCCCACTGTCACTGTCCCTCATCCCACCCGCCACCCACCCCCAAGGACAAAGGCCACATAGTTCTGGGCTGCTCCTCACAGAGGTCCCCAAGTGCAGAAACCATCCCCCTTCCTCAGAAAATTGAGCCCTTGAAGTGATTTCCTGCAGGGTTCTTCCCTTCTGCCTTAGTGAACTCACAGGAAATCATGCCTTGGACCGTTTTTGTAGGGACAGAAGATGACACCATGTGAAGGCAGGAGATGGGAGCCTTTCAGCCATTTCCAGGGTGGGGTGGAGGGGGTGTGGACCGCACACCAGGAGAGGTGCTTGATCAAGGACCAGAGGAGACCCAGAGCTGGAGGGGCCTCTGGGACCACATTCTAACCCACCCATTTGACAGATGAGCAAACTGAGACCTATGAGGTGGAGGGACTTAGGCCCCAGGATGGTAGAACTTTGTGTCATGGACCTCCTGGGCAGTGTCTGGTGAGGCCTGTGGTCCCCTTCTCAGAATCAGGTGTTTACATAATTAAAGGAAATTCTAAATTTTAAAGGTTAGTGAAATTAAATAGGTAATATTTTCTTTCCCACCCAAATTCCTAGATCCCCTGAAATCTAGCCATGGACCCTCAGGGTAAGAACCTCTGATCTAGAACTTGAAGGAGGCCCTCAGTTTACCAGTGAGGAAACTGAGGCTCAGAGGTGCAGTGACTTCCCAAGGTGGAGGCACTGGAACGGGGAGGGACCCTAAAAGGCCTCCAGTGCCACCCCAAGTCACCAGGGGTATGTGTGCCACGGGAGGCTCTCTCCTACCAGTCAGTGCCCTGTGGTCTATAGCAGGCAGTGTAGACATATCTCCCATGGGATACTTGCCTGAAAGACTGAGAAGGACATAGAAGGCTGCCCAAAGCTCTGGGCTGCAGCTGGACACAGACTCACCAGGATCTCAGCCTGTCTTCTGGGTCCCAGCAGCTAGCCAACAACTCCTGCAGTTCTCCCCTTCTGAAAGCTGCCCTCTGGGCGTTAACGCCCGCCTGAGCTTCCATCTGGCCTTCCTCCTCACAGCCAGGGGAGCAGGCCAGAGTGGCTGGACGCTGGATGGAGGCTTCAACAAGGGGGGACGTGGACTAGAGCGCCATCAGTGAGGGGCCTTCCCATTCCAGAACTGTCGGATTCCCAGCATTCCTCAGCATCACAACACAAAGTAAAAGCTAGACGGGACCTCAGATAGCACAGAGTGCAGCCCATTTTACAGACGAGATGGAGTGACTTTCCCAAGATGACGCAGCCGGATTGTGGGCCTGGGCCCTACGGGCTCTGAGGCTGCCTGTCTTCCCAGGGCCCCGCCCTGGCTGTCCTTGGCAAAGGGAGCCCCGCAGGGGAATGCCCCACAGCTAAGAACCCCCAAGTGTGACATGCTGCTGCCCTCAGCTACAGCGACTCTCCTGTGGCCAAAGCAGCCCGTGGCCACCTTCTCCTCCCACCCCACCCCCACCCACTTCATGGGTGGCCAGAGCCTGGGACTCGTCTGTCCTGGGGGATGGAGTCTGAGAGGCTGACAGACACAGGCGCGCATGCACACACACACACACACACACACTCATGCCCTCACAAGCATCCCCACACGCGTGTGCACCCACATGCAAATAGTCACACACAGACAGCCCGTGGCCATCCCTGCCACAGCTCTCTCCCTGGGAGTCTCTCAGGTGCTGATTCAACTTGGGTTAACATGCCCGTTAAGCTTCTGTGTGTGCACACACACTTGAGATCATAGGCCTAGAGCTGAAAGGCACCCCGGACCCCATGCAGGCCTACCTCCTCATTTTACAGCTGGGGAAACTGAGGCACAGGGCACACAGGGAGTAAGCATCAGAGGTAGAATTTCAACCTGGATCCTCCGGCTCCTAGTTCATTCCTCTTTGCTCCTCACTGGGGGAGATAATAAGACGTGGTCGCTCTGAGAGATAGCCTTCCAGAGGCGCTGAGCATCTCACTGGGAATTGTATGTTTAGCGCTGCCAAAGCAGCTAGTGAGGCACAGATATCAGTGGCACCAGGGGGCTCACCCTACCAGGGCGGGTCCTCGAGGCCTTAGAGAAGATAAGGGGGGTCAGCGAGGTGGCGCAGCAGATAGAGTACCGGCCTTGGAGTCAGAAGGACCTGAGTTCAAATTTGGCCTCAGACCATAACACTTACTAGCTGTGTGACCCTGGGCAAGTCACTTAACCCCAAATGCCTCATCCAAAAAAAAAAAAAAAACCAAAAAAATAGAGAAGACAAGGGACTGGGCCAGGGTCATGCAGCCAGGAGGGTCTTCCTGACCCCAAGGCCAGCTCCGTCCTGCTCACCCAGCCACCACTCTGTCTGCTTCGCAGGCCTTCCCTTCTCCCATTCCAAGAACATTTACTGAGAACAGGCCTCATGCCAGGCATCCGGCCAAGACCCCTCGAGGACTCCTGACGGCTTTGGTCATTCTAGCACGCTTCTAAGAGGCCTCAGGAGCTTCCCGGCTGCTTCCTTCACACTCGCCCTGGGAGGGGGCAGTGCGCAGATCTGTGCCTCCATCTTCCTGAAGAGGAGACTGAGGCTCCTGCAGGCGGCCAGACTCGGCCACGCAGCCCACCGCAGTCACCCGTGCTGTTCCCACAGCGGCTGCGCTAGGCCCGGGCCCAAGTCCTGGTCTCACCACAAGTGGAGCAGGGCGTCATGGAAGAATGGAGACATGATAGCTGGCCTTACTGCGCACCAGGTGCTGCGCAAAGGGCGCGATGAGCATTGTCACTCCTGATCCTCCCAGTAGCACTGGGATCCTCATTTTATAATGGAGGAAACTGAGCCGGACAGAGGAGAAAGTGACTTGCCCAGGTTCACACAAGTACTAAGTGTCTAAGGCTGGATTCAGACTCAGCTCTTCCTGACTTCAGGCTCTGTGTTCTATCTGGTTGCTTAGAAAGAACTGGGTTTGATTTTTTTCTGTTACTCAGTAAGAGTATGACTCCAAGACTGTCTCCTCATTTGTAAAATGAAGATCATAATACTTGTCATTCCGACCTCCGAGCATCTTTGTAAGGGAATTACTTTGCAAACTTTGTGTAGTTTGAAGAGTCATTGTTTCTGTTGTGATGATAAGAAGGGCTGAGCCCAGAGGGAAGGCTCAGCCTGTCAGTGTGGACCTAACGAGGCAGAGGACGGGGTTTACATCCTGCCTCCGTGTGACCCTGGACAGGTCACTCTCTGGAGCTCAGAGGGCTCAGAGGCTTCTTTCAGCTCAAGACTTCTGATTTCCTGGGCCCGTGATCCCAGGCCTCAGTTTCCCAGCTATAAATGAGGAGCTTAGACTAGAAGGCCTCCGAGGACCCTTCCAGCTCTGACTCTGGGACCCTTTGACCTTGACTCCCCCAGTTAAACCTCAGGGAGCCCCCAGATTCGTCCCCACCCATGTCGCCAGGCCAGGCTTTTGCCTCCCACTAGGTTGCAGCTGTCCAGAGCTCCCGTGTCCCCCTAGCTGACCAGCTCTTGTCTTCTTTCTCCTAGGTCTCGCATCCGCAGAGAACTATTCATTGAAGAAATCCAAGCAGGAAGCCAGAGCCAGGCTGGGGCCAGTGACTCGCCGTCAGCGAGGAGCAGCCGGGCAGCTCACAGCTCAGAGGGGGACAGCTGCGACGGCGTGGACACGGAAGGCCCACCCGAAGGGAAGATGAGCGCCAGCGTCCCAGAAGCGTCGGAGGAAGCCAGCGATGCAGCCACAAAGTCTCAGGGAGGGCAGGCAGAGGCGGAGGAGGAAGTGGGCGGGGAGGCCCAGCAGCTTGCTAAGTCTTCAGAGAAAACGGAGTCATTCCATTTGGGAATGGAGACCCTGGCCGAGACCGAGGACGAGGGCCGGCCCAAAGGGCCGCGTCGGAGCTCTCCGCCAGGGTCTCACAGTTCAGGAGAACCTCTGGAGGCCCCGCCAAACTCTGCTCCAGAAGAGGATGCCTCTACCTCAGCTGCCTCCGCCACGGTCCCCGCCGGGGAGAGCCCCTACAAGCCGAAAGAGAGCGCGGAGAAAAGTCCCAATTTGCCAAGTACCAGCTCCACCCCATCCGGCCCGGGCCCCCAAAAAACCAACTCCCTTCAGAGCCTGTTCAGCTTTCCCGAGGCCGCCGGCTCCAAAAGCACTCGAGACAACAGCCTGAGGAAAAAGAAGGCGGCCAACTTGAACAGCATCATCCACCGGCTAGAGAAGGCCGCCAGCCGGGAGGAGCCCGCCGAGTGGGAGTTCTGAGAGGAGAGCTGGGCAGGCGGGACTGGACCTCCCTGGCGGGCTGGCGCTGCTTGGGTTGCGCACTTACCGCCCTGCAGGCCACAGGGCAAAATCGCCATAGGCCAAGGTGCATATAGAAAACAGAAGGGGCGCTGAGCCCATTTACGTTGCGTTTTCGAGGAAGAAAACAGATGTGTAGTCAAGCCTTTTTGTACCCTCAAGTGTTTTTTTTATTGCCCTAAGTGATTTCCACAGTTTCTGGAATAACTCTTACAGCCTTTGCCTTGTGCCCTCGTCTTTCGTGTGGGCTTTTAAAAAAAAAATCAAACCCACAGATTAAAAGGGGGCTTTTTATCTGCCATCTAATGGCTTCAGAGCGATAATACACTATTATCTTCTTAAACCAGGAAAAAATGGGGGGGGGAATTTTTCAGAAAAGTTTAAAAAAAAAGAAAGTTTTTGTAGCTGTCCAGTTGCCACTAAGAGATTGCACAGTCAAACCGACTCTAAACACACTAGTTTGGATTCCTAAATATTTTCAAGAAAAGAATCTTCTTGTTTGAAACTTTGAATTTAAAAAAAAAACACATTTACTCCACATATTTTTTAACAAAAGAAAAAAAAAGTCACATCAGGAAAATATCGTGGTTTGTGGTAGCTGACGGGCGGGCGGGCGTCGTGTTTTCTGTGAGTGACGATAGAACCTTGACACGTAGTGCACATGACTCCATAGCTTTAACCAATTCTGGGCTTTTGCAGACCAGGGTTTGTTTAATACACTCCATTTTAGGCCAAATCAGGACAAAAAAAATCGGAATCTAGGTATTTTCTAATCTGCTTTTTAACCTCTAACGGCAGAGCACGCTGATCAGACCTCATATCTGGGAGGTTTCGGAGACAAGTTAGAACCGCAGCATGTACTTGATGGTTTTGTGTAATTTATAGCGTCTGCGTGTTTTGTTTGCCTGCGTGTGTGTGTGTGTGCACGGGTGTGTGTGTGTGCACGGGTGTATGTGTGTGCACGGGTGTATGTGTGTGCGCGCTTTGGAAAAGAACGAGGGAAAAGAGTTGGCCAGTAACATTTCAGCATGCAGCTCGGGGGCCCTTGGGTACAATGTGAGGTGCCCAGGGGAACTGGGAAAGGGTTCTGTTCCTTGTCGATGGAGGTCTTTCCTTGTTGGAGATGGTATCAGATACCACTCTCACTGAGCTGAAGCCTGCCTCAAGATGAAGATAGCTCCCTTGGTGTCATATTCTCATTCATTCTCTCTCTCTCTCTCTCTCTCTCTCTCTCTCTCTCTCTCTCTCTCTCTCTCTCTCTCTCTCTCTCTCTCTCTCTCTCTCTCTCTCTCCCTTTCCCCCCTCTCCCTCCCTCCCTCTTTCCCTCTCCCTCCTGTCTCCCTCTCTCTCTCTCTCTCTCTCCCCAACCCCCACAAGCTATCTCTTGCTGTCACACTCACTATTGCTATCTCTACCTCTTCCCACTACAAGCACTGATCACTATGTTGAAGTTGTGGGAAGGCTGTTAATTTTTTTTTCCTATAGAAAAAGAGAGTGCGCAGCAGTAACCATCCGACCCCTCCTCATCCCCCAAACAGAAACGGCCCAAACTCTTAAACCAAAATGTTCATGTTCTTGAATTCCGGTTCAGATGGTTCTGCCCTTTATCAAGTTTGCCTCTTAAAAAAAAAGATTCCTTTATGCACAGTTTAGGACAGACTGAGTACAAATCAGAAGTCTAACTTGTCTCTAATTCCTCCTGTTGTCTATGTGTATATGCGTGAGAATAGAGGTGAGAGTGTGCGCGAGTGTGTGTGTGTGCGCGTGAAAGCAGTTTTCTACGTCTTGTCTTTTCTTACGTACCTGTGCACACATGAGAGTGCATTACTGCCACCTTTTTTCAATATGCTCTTTTATCAGTTTGGCTTCAACAAATTTGCTAATTTAGACTCCTTTATTGCCATATCTTTAAAACTAACAATAGATGATTTCGGTATATATATATATATATTTTTTTTTTGCTTATTTATAGGTGCTGTATTTTATTATCTGATTGTTAGGAAGGGATGAAAGGGGGCAAATATTCTTTAGTGGGATAGACTGCCGGCAGTATTGGGTATACTTTACAAGATGTTGTCATACTGTATATTATTGATTGAAAACTTTTGACCGTATTGTGTATCATTGAAACTTTGTCTTAGGTCAGCATCTTTGGATGACATTTTCATGGTGCATTCATAATTTCTTAAGTTTAATTAATATTTCTTTTCTTGATTGCGGGGAGGGGGAGTTACAGTTTGGAAGGTATTCCCCCACTATCATGCCTCAGCGTGCTTGTATTAATTAATTAGTAGGATTTGGACTGTAAGATGTGAGACTATGTTTCTTGCATGATGTTTTAGAAATTATGTATTTCATTTACAGTCTCTTAACCTGCAGCACTCGGTTTGAGTGTTCACAAATTCAGAGTCACTACACTTCTTTAAAAATGCCTTTTCATGAATGAGAAGTATGCAGAAGGCTCTAGGAGGCTGGGAGACGGTAGTCTATCTCCTTATAGTCACATCCATTCCGAGCTCAAAGTCTGGTTCGGTGACTGAGATTCCTGTTGGAAGTAGAGATCAAAACTGAGACCCTTGAAGAGAAAGCAGCTGCCCATCTCACCGAGCCCCAGTGCATTAGGGAGGGAGATTTTTCGGGAATGGCCAACCCCTAGAAAAAGACTTGTCAGGACCATGGAGAGCACCAGGAGGGCTTTGGGGAGAGACCCCCAGGACACTGTAACAGGCAGCCGGGCAAGTCTGAGGAGGAACAGTGCAGAGGTAGAAATGGACGTCTGGGTGGCAAGACTGGTGTCTGCAAAGCCTTCGAGTCCTGGGAGTTCTGATGTGCCGACGTGTTGTGCCGCCTAGGTTCTTTCTGCTTCTACCAAGTAAATCATGATTTGGGGAGTCCTTTTTTAGACTTGATTGGCAGACTGTCTTCTTAATCCAACTTTTTTTTTTCAGCCAGATTAACATCTGGGTGCTTGATACAATCAGTTGGCTCAAGTTTGTTTGCAGCTCAGTGTGGCGGATTTTCCCCTCCCATATTTACTTATTTGTTTAGTTTCGATCTCAGCCCAGTCGTCTTTGATGTCAGGTTGTCCTTTCAGTCTTTCCTGCTTCCTGAGTGCTTCCACTGTAGGACATGGAAACTGATGTGGGGAATTTGCCCTCCCCTTCCAATGGAACATAAATTAATCTTTCATCCTGATAAGCAATATTCAAGTGCCTTGAAAAGCGTGCCCTGAGTTCAAATTTGCTTTCTTCCCACTTCTGTTCAATGCCTCTCTCACCATCCATCACACACACAAACAGATCGCCTGCTTCCTTAGCCTCTGTCACTTTAGAGAGACGATTTGTACCTCTCCCCTAGGGGAAGCGTTTCCATTTAAAACACTAACATTTAATTACAAGCTCCATTATACCATTTAAAACGGTTTCTTTGTGCTAATTGGGGGCAGTATTCATAATTCTGAGTCAAGGTGGCCGTTGTGACTACCTTAGCCAGCTAAGGCTGAGCACACAATGTCAGCTTCCTGGTCTTTGGCTCCTGCTCTGGTTCGAACATCTGTGATTCTCGTGATGAAAGGTGTTTTGTTGAAGTATAGATCCGGGTCTGATGAGAGCGCCTCTGGCGTGCCAGGCATCTGGAAAGGGTTAACCTATAGTTGTGTGCAGCCTTTGAGCTCAGCTTCTCCATAACAGGCATGCAATGTGACTTGTCTTGGGAAATTAGTAAGCTCAGACAGTACAGGTGTAGGCATTCTGGGGAGGGAGGCTGGGTGGGACCTGGGAGGTGGTTGGACACCTCAGGATACTTGTTTACATCACTGCCAGCAAGGAAGGTGACAAATATATAAAGGGCTAGAGCAGAGAGGGAGAGGGAGGGAGGGGAGACAGCTTCTCCACACCTAAGATTGTTTTTTCAAACATGGTCATTTCTATCAAGTTAATAATAGGGGAAGAGTGGAGGGGAAGAGGCAGTGTGGTGGCAAGCATTTGGAATGTTTGCTCATCCAAAGCACTGATAAGTCCCTGACTGGTTTTCTTTTAATAGTCTCTTTTGTTTTCTCTCCCATTTAAAGGAACAATGACCCTTCCCCCCACCAACACCCCGTACTTAGAACTCTTAAGAGATTGTGGAATCGGCCCCCAAGTTGGCCTGGCTTTGGGACAGCACCCTCTTTAGGAGTGAACAGGGCAGGAAGGCAGAAATCATCATTAGTGTCTAGGCTAAGTAGCCATCTCATGGTGTGCCCTTGCAGAAAGAAGAGATGTGAGCCTGGTGTCCCTTCTCTCAAAGTCAGTACCCATGATACTGTGATTTCGTAGCAAGATAAGGAAGAAAATGTTTTCTTAGACTCAATAAAGAAAGCTCTAGATTGGAGGTTCTTGTTTATTGCTATGAAATGGGGAAATAGGTTTACTCCACCCAAGATCATACAGCATATATCTGTTATTAGAGAGCAAACTCAGAAACCAGCCAATGAAGCCCCAAGATGGTGGGTCAGCTTGAAATTCTACCCTCTTTAAAATGGGAACACCCAGAAAGGGGTAGGTAGGAAACTCTTCAGCATCCTGTGTAATCATCTTCATTTCTCTGGTTTTGGGGGGAGGGGGAGTGAATCTCCCTTTAAAATAAGCTGGGGAGGGGGAGGGACCATACAGTATGCCCTTCTGGAGCCCATACAGAATCGCATTTAATCCAGCAAATGCTTATTGAATACAAAGTAAAATGATGATTGTGACCTTATATGTGCAGCTTAGCCAAAAGATAGGTCCATCTTAAAAGATGCAGTAATAAATGCCCAGTAGCTGAGCTGTGTGGACTTATTTAAGATCCCATATTTCTAGATTTTGTCATCCAGCGTGGGAGTTGGTGGGGTTGGGGTGATTGGGGAGATGACTGCTAAAAGATGAAACTTGTTCTAGATAAGCCATAACCTGATAAGGGTTGGATTTAGTGAATGGATACCCAACTTGACGGAGTTACTGCTGAAGCCAAAACTTCAAATTCTACCCCCTGCTCTTGACTTCCCTTGAAAACTGACTCCCCTCTGTCTTACTCCCATGTTTAACCCCTAGTCTCCCACCTTCCTATCACCCTACACCCTGCCTTCCACTGGCACTGTTAGGCCAGCAGGATAAGAGGTGGGGCAGGCCAGAGACAGGAAGGAAGAGTGTAACCAGGCCTCGTGGTAGGTGAACAACTGCTGCTGTTCCCTTCACAGGTGTCACTGAGGCACACAGTTTGGAAGTTGTAAAGTAATGAGTTGTACTTTTTTCATATTTTCTTGCATCCTGATATGGAATAGAACTCTGCTCTCTTGCATCTCCTTGGTTTTTTTCCTTTCCTTTACTTCCCTTTCTCTTTCTTCCTTTACCTTTTTTCCTTCCATTTTTATTTTCTCTTTCTCCTGTTTCTTTAATTCTTTGTATTTTCTTCCTATCTTTTCTTTCTCTTTTTCTCCCTTTTTTCTTTTCCTCTCTCCTTTTTCTTTCTTTCCTTTCATTCTTTTCAGTCAGTCCTGCAACAGCCATTCCTGTCGCCATCAGTAAGAGCCATCCCTCCCATGTCGACATAGGACTGCGTAAAATGGCAGACGCATTTGGTAGCCCTGTGTCTCTGTTCACTTAATAAGTTAGAATTAGCAAACCCAAATCCATATTTCTATCTCTGAGTACAGACCACCTAAAGGATTCATAAGGGCTCATCTTGAGGTAGATGAGCAAGTTTTCCTCCAGTCTATCCCACCCCACCCCAATAAATCAGATGACCTTTTAAAGAACATAACTGTCTAGGTTGCTCAAGAAACAGTGAATTCATAAAATCTCACTGGTGCCCATTATCCATGGGCTTCCTCAGTAGCATCAATATCCTGTTGAAAATTTGCTGAACTAGAAGTCAAGGGACCCTCTTCTCTGCTCCTTGGAGGAGTGGTGTTTTCCCACATGAGACTGGCTCTTCGTGCACTCCACTGCCTCGTTTTTGAGAGGAGGGAGCTGGGCTAGAGTATCTGTAAGGGCAATCTTTCAATTCATCAGATGGTGTGACTAGTTTGTTGGTGATTGTGTGTGTAAGAATGGAATGACTCTTTGGAAAGCAATGATAAACACTGGGCAATTTGTATAATCTCCTTATACCTGGGCAGGTAAATAATATGCATTCACAGAAAAATCCTGTATTTGGAGGCCCCCAAAGAGGCACAGCAGTTTCCATTTTGTGCCTTAATGGCTTGAAATCAGTCACTAGAGTCTCCAGTGAT